TTCATCGCCATATTGAGATATGAACAGATAAATAGTTCCACAATAAAAATTAACAAGTGTACAATAAATTGTACAAATAAACCTCTATATCAACAATTATAGTTTACCTCTTGAAATATAAATATAAAGAAAAAATTACCAAATATCAAAAATCTAATAAAAATTATTTAGTATTACCAATAAGAATTGTTCAAATTTTCTTGAATTTATTTAACTTATCTTTTTATTCTAATTTCCTTATACTTGAAATTAATGAACAATTTTAGAATGAATGTATCAAAACCAGTTAATCCGGAATAAGACACACACAAAAAACAAAAAACAAAAAAAAATAAAAATAATAATATATAAGAACTAAACAGACAATTCAAGATTAATTGTATCAAAACCAGTTAATCCGGTATTAACACATACAAAAAAAAAAATAAAAATGTATGTATATGTATAACTATTTTGTCAAAAGAAACAAACTTTTAAATGTAATATCAGTACACGTACAATAATATGCAATTTGTATATGAAAATTCTTTATTGAAATATATATGTAGAAAAATCAATATGTAAAAATGTTATAAATATAGCAAAATCACAAACTATCAACGACTATGGTGGTAGAATTACGAAATTTTCTAAGGATCAAAGCTTGACGTAATAATTTACCAATCATAAATTTTATTGTATCAATACATTTATCCAGCTTATCCGGAATATGTATTACAAATGAAAATGACGGTTTGTGTGTGTTTGTTTGTTTTGTTTTTGTCCCTTTTTTTTTTTTTTTTTTTAATAAATTGTTTAATAGTCAATACCAGTTGTCCGGTTTATTGACTCGAATCGTACCAAATTTCAGTAAATTGAAATATATTCATGTATGAATTATTGAAAAGTCAATACCAGTTGTCCGGTTTATTGACCAATATTCAATAATGAAAAATTTTCATACATGTAACAGTTCAAGCTTGTGTGTGGTTTTATTTTATTTAGTTTATATAATTTTCTGTTTACTATCACACAAATACTGTTAAAATGTATTTATTTCAACTGCACAACTTCTTAAAGTTAATATTCTAACTCATAAGAAACATATTTGATTTATATATACTGTGCAAATTGTAAACAACACAGTTGTCTCCCTTCACTGTTTCAAATATATATTGAAAAAGTGCAACAAACTTCACTTCACTGTTTATATAACTACAGTGGAGCAAACAATAATTGTTTTATGTGTATTGGGACATAAATATGTATTGTATACGAATTATAAATCGCGAGAAACTCAAAATTCAAATCCGATAAATTTGACAATTTCCCCGCGAAAACTCGCACGAAATTCTAATTACAATTTCAGGTATTTTTTGCGGTTTCAAATGTTTTTACATCTGACACCAATGTAGCGATTGTGGTTGGGCGTGTAATGCAATATTACCTGAATATCTGACTCAAGTTCTCCTAGAATAAGCTTATTATAACACAACTCTGCAGTCTTAGAGAAAGCGAACTGTCTTGCTTGAAGCTTGGAAATTAGAAGTGAGGCTCTGCCTGGTTCCTGTCTGGTTCCTTGTTTTTGGTCTGTTCCTTCTATCCGTTTTCCCATCATATAGAGAGCGAGGTTTAGGCTTGTCTGGTTCCCGGTTTCAGATATCATATTCCTCCTATATTGGAGAACCGCTAAAGCGGTGTATCAATCATCCAACGGCACCACAATACGGTAAATTCCGTGATTTGAATATTTTCTAATCAATATGTTCAAGCAATGAAAATATGAGGATAACATTTTTAATCATAGAGCACACGTTTTGTGTATTTACTATTTAAAATTATAGTTTATGAAGAAATATAGCAAAATATGTTTCAATACGCACTATAAAGTGAAGATTATATGTATTATTGTTTTGTTTTTGAAAGAACATTAATAATCCATAAATACACACCTTTGTACCAAAATTGCAATAAAATTTCAAGATAACATAAATTTCATCATCACAGAATGATATTATTTGCTCAAGTTGACAGGGCTTCGTGAACTAAATTTGGCTTAAATTATGATAGCAATTGAACACTTCATTATAGTTTCTACCGATGACCTACTTTCATGATTTTTATCCGACCCCACTTACGGACGCGTTGACATATAATGCATACAACTCAATAATAGCCAATCAGACGTTAAGATATCCTTCACTTCCCCCAGAAGCAGTCCGGAAGCAGCTGAGATGCAGCCATTTCCTTAATGTTATTTATAACCAATGAGATACCGTTAACAGATTAACCACATTCCAAGACCAAATACAAATTTTTATAAAAAATATTTTCATTATTCTGCAACAAAGGTATGGAATAATTTACCACTCAAAATAAAAAATTGTCGAAATGTGGAATTATTTAAGAAACATTGTTATAATCATTTTCTTGAAAATTCTATGCAAGTCGAATAATTTGTTTTCTTTCTTTTATTGTAAGAATAAGAAAATTTAATCAAAACTTTACCAATTATTGCCATTTATTGCCATTTGTATGTTTGAACGATTGAATTGTGTATATACAAGTAATATATATTAATTTGTATTTTAATATATGAATCGAATGTGTGAATGTTAACTGTATACATGTATTTTGTTTGAGGGCCTCAATGAAAATTAGACTACTTCTAATTGAGTTACCCTCTTTAAATAAAGAATTTATTATTATTATATTATTATTCCAGACGTCCAGCCTCTGACTAATCAGACCGTATCACCATGGTGATACGGTAATTAAGCTACGCTAATTAAAGCAATTACTATATGTAGTTATAAAGTACATTACATACACTAACTATTTATTATTATATAATACTTCAGACGATCGTCGGCGTTACATAGTGTGTTAAGCCCTGGTCACAACGAACCCACGACACATCTATGCAGCGCCACGACATAAAATTTGGTCAAATCGCGGGTCATCTGTGATCGTCGTACGACAGTCGCACGATATTTTGAGCATCGTGGCGCTGTCGTGTGTCGTGGGACGAAAATTGGACATGCACCTTTTTTGCTCTACGATTTTTTGTCGTGTCACTGTCGTGTGGCTGTCGTGAGAGTGTCTTACCACAGTCGTGCGACTGTAGTGCAATAAACACATTGTAGTGGGAACCAACATAAACCATTTTAATAAAACAATCGTACGACTGTCGTACGACAATCTCACGACTGTCGCAAGACACTCGTGATACAGTCGCACGATTGTCTCACGAATACCAAATTTCGTCCGATGCTCGCACAACATTGATTGTCTGTCATATGACAGTGGTATGTTCGTCTTGCAACATATTTTCGTTTTATTTAGAAGAATACAATTCGGCAGGAATGAATGTTTGGAAAAACATACCGTCTGCCGTTTAAAGAGGATGGCTATTCCACCAGAACGATTACGCTTGGTCCTGCTGAATAGGTGCCTTGCCAGACTCCTACAAGAGCAAAATATGGTCCTGTTATCGTTGATTCGAGCCCGTGAACAGTATAGCAACCAGAGAAACGCCCGACGTTGGTGGTTTAGGCCATGGATCGACGGCGCCTGATGTTTGGGCAGTATAGTACACTGATGCAAGAGTTGGAGCGGGAATCTGCCGGTGATTTCGTTGGATTCATGCGGATTGAGCTTGGCATGTTTCAAGAGCTTTTGCTGAGAGTCGCCCCCCCCCCCCCCCTTTGCATCACTAAGGGTCGACTGCGAGGCTGCCGCACCCCTCTTGAGCCTGGACTGAAGCTGTCCATAACCCTGCGCTTTATTGCAACAGGGAACAGTTACCGCAGCCTAGCATACTTCTTCTGTGTCCCCCTCAGCACCATCTCAGGGTTCGTTCCGGAGGTTGCGCAGGCCATCGTTGATGAATATCTTGGCGAGACTATGCAGACCCCAAGCACACCAGATGGATGGCGCCAGGTGGCAGACAGATTTTGGGTGCGGTGAAATTGTCACCATTGCTGTGGGCCATCGATGGCAAACATGTGGCTATCAAGGCACCAAAAAACACCGGAACCAAGCACTACAACTACAAGGGTTACTTCTCTATAGTCCTGCTTGGATTGGTAGACGGCAACTACAAGTTTCTGTTGGCAGACCTTGGCGCAGAGGGATCCGCATCGGATGCCGGCATGTTCAACAACGGCCCACTAAGAGGTGACCTTGAAGAAAAACGACTGGGCTTCCCCGACCCTGAACCTCTACCTGGTGATGACCACAATATCCCATACTTTCTGGTTTGGGACGACGCATTTTTTTTTTGCGGCCCTGGATGTTGTGGTAGGTGGTCCTCCGTCTGATCAACATCATCCACGTTTACTGCTACCACCTTTCTTTTGTTAATTTTTCTTTTCGGGGGCATCCTGGTTTAATTCGCTGAACAATTATAATATAAACTAATACGAAAAACGTCGTTTACTTGGACCGAACTTATAATGACACTGAACATATTGAAAACAAATGGCAAATGGCAAGCAATAAATCGGGCCTTCTTTATATACTAGTAGTTCGGAGTCAAACGCGCGAGTGACCCACGACTGTTGTGCGACAGTCGTAAGACAGTGGCACGACAGTGATACGACAGTAACACGCGCATCCCATGACATGAAAACATGAAAAATAACCCAAAACAACTCGCGATTGTCGTACGACTGTCGCACGACAAACTAGCGACAAACCCACGACAGTACAATTACAATTCTTTTTTTCTGTCGTGTACCAATCGTGGAACCATCGGCATCGTGGAAAAGTTCGTAGCTGATGCGACCGCTCGTATATTTTTTTGACATTTTGCACGACAGTGCCACGACAACTATTTTATAGACATTCCACGACAAAAAAATCGTACGATTTGTTGTGACCGGGGCTTTAGTGATCTAATATGATATATATGGGATCAGTAAATTCCGCAGTGATGTTAAGGCAATTTCGATTAGATTTGGTCAGGGGCAGATAACCCCGCAGGTACCTCATTATGTATTCATTTATTCCTTAATGGCGGAGAGTACCTAAGCTGCGTCTATCGATAAAACTGTATGAAATCAAATTACATACATGCCTGTTAATTAAAAACAGGTATCCATATGGTGTAATTTTTGTACTGAAACACGAATATTGTATGTTTGTGCTTTAATTATTATGGTAAACGGTTGCAATAGCTGTTTTTTGTGCCGAGATTGTCGGCTTGTGGACACCGCCTCCTTTTGATGATCAACCAATCAGTAAGACGATCGCCGTCGAACAGATGTTTGTAGTTTGCAGAATGGAAAGCACCTTGCAGCGGAAATTATTTTCACTTCTACGTGAAAATCTAGCCAGAAAAGTAAGTGTAAGCCACCAAATATGTAAAATTTATGAAACATACGTCGCTTGTTTTGTTAATCATTCGCTTTAGAAGTCGAAAAACGACACAGTATTAGATAAAACGAGTTCAGTGTTGGCAAGCATGTTACACACGTGGTCAAAACGAAACTAGACTGCAAAAAATATCTGAAATTTGAATAATTTATCGAGTCCCGTCAGTAAATGAACAGAATATCGAATGAAACAAGTTCCCTGCATTATATCAAGAGCCCATTCTCAACATTTACCCTGAAATTCATTTTTAATTAACGTTTTGCAGGTATCCTGGTTGGGTACATCTGTAAATTATAACAAAGTTTGCTCCACCGTTGACTTCCGTCCGGAGCCCACGTTGCTGGAACCATGATCCCTACCTTCAAATCATGGAGCCCTTAATTTGAAGCTTAGGGCACAAAACTTGCTCAAAGCCAAAGGAACCCTGAACACGTAATTTGGAGATCAGTCACATATGGTGTAAGTTGTAACCCCCCCCCCCCCCCCCCCCCCCCCCCCCACAAACCAACCAACCAACCAAACCAATTCAATTGTGAAGTCCATAGTATAATATTTTCTGCCGAGTGCTGACGGTATATTTCAACTTTCATGACTGAATTTTATAGATCCCTATACTCGGAAGTTTACAGCGTTAACGCCACCCCCCTCCCTGATATCAGAAACATTAAAAACAGCCTATTATTTGGACTTATCGGGGACTGTGCGTCTTTCTCTGGAAAATGCCTGCACCTTGAATAAGTTATTTTTGAACCAATATTTTTAAAATCCAGAACCAAGTCAGCAATATGACCAATTGCAAGTTTATATACTTGTTGGTTATAAAAATACATGAGAACAATTTTGAACATGATAGTCCAAATAATATTATTTTTCTTGAAAGGCTTTGTTAATGATTTACTGTGACACTTCACATTACCGTCATTCTAAGGAAGGAATCCCAGTAAAAAATTAAGGAAGCCTCTCATGACAATAATAATAGACTTATTAATATCATGACTGCCCATGTTGACATATTCTTTTTAGATATGGTTATCATCAGTATTAAAATGAAAAAGAGCACTGCTTGCATGCTGATGATGTCTTGCGTCTAAGTACCCAAATTGCACCTATTTAGCAAATCTTGCAAGTTTTCTAAGAGGAAGTATTCACTGGAAAAGTAAATTCTACAGAAACATTAGCATGTGACGTCCACAAAAAGTCATCTTTTAAAAATGAGCAAATAGAATATGTTACGCCATACGAGTATTAATTTCTTAAAAATTGAATAGCAAGCATGGACTTAAATGTCAAATTGTTCTAAATATTTTAAGAAATAAAACAAAACATCTGTTATTCGAATTTCAAGGATAGGTATTAAAGCATGGATGCATTTTGGGTACTTCTCATTACAGAATCATGGATTGTTTGGAGGTGACGGTTTAAACCCATTTTTCTATGATTCAATATGGATTCAAAATTAAATTGGTGGAACTAAATAGTAAATAAGGATACGGATCTACAAAATAAACACAGAATGGAAACTTTTGTCTGGATCTTTAAAAAATGTATGTGAAAAAACTGTCAAAATAGGTGCAATTTGGGTACCCTCGGCTCACGTAATATACAGTTACAACAGACATTGACAAGGCAGTAAATTATTGTACTATAAATTCAGAAGAATTGCGATTAATCCAATGAATATCGCAATTATAATTAACCTCACATTTTTATACGCCCGTTTACTATTATTAGATTTTACGTTTCCAAGTTGACAGGGTTTTATTCATAAAAAAAGGGGGGATTTTCCAGTTTTCGGACAATAACTCAAAATTGCTTTCAGCAGTTTTCATGAAACTTTGATGAACTGTTGATATCTATTGATGTAAGCTCCCTTTAGAATTTTATAAATTTAAGATTTTACATTTCCGAGTTATAGGGTTTTATTCATTAAAAAAGGGGGGATTTTCCAGTTTTCAGACAATAACTCAAAAATGCTTTCAGCAATTCTTATGAAACTTTGGTGAATTGTTTATATCTATTGATGTAAGCTCCCTTTAGAATTTTATAAATTTTATTTGTTTATAGTCTGACAACAGATTTACTAAGTATTGCGCAACAGCATAGTGTATTGAACAACAGCAAGAAATCTTTAATTGAAGATAAATTCAATTCATATAACCAATTTCAAGCTCTTTGACTACATTTATTCAGAAACCTATAATATGTCAAATATTTAATTACAATCCAAACTCAGACCTGTATCAAGCTTGAATATTTGTGTCCATTTTTGCCCCAACTGTTCAGGGTTGGACCTCTGCGGGCGTATCCAGCTGCGATCAGCGAAGCAGTTTATTGTCCCTCCTTTCAAAAATCACAATAATATTAAATGCACACAATGATTTAGAAATGTTCAAAATAAAGCCTGCAGTCATTATACGCCTGCCTTTAACATGTTTAATGGGGATCTAAGCTACGAGATATAGAAAAAATTAAAATATGATTATTATTTTTTCAATATTTAATGAAAGTGCAATAGTGAAATAATAATTCACATTTAGCACCCAGTTTGGTTCAATTTTGTCGAAATAAGCTAAGAAACATCGCTGGTGAATCATTCAGTCAATAACTCAAAAAAGCTTTCACCAATTTTCATGAAACTTTGGTGAATTGTTTATATTTATTGACAAAAGTTTCCTTTCCATCTTTTTTTTATTTTTGATTTCTCGCTTTTGAGTATTGGGACTTTATTCATAAAAAAGGGTTGGTTTTTTTTCTCCAGTTTTCGGACAATAACTCAAAAATGCTTTAACAAATTTTCATGAAACTTTGGTGAAATGTAACATAAGCTACCATACAATTTTTATATATTTAAGATTTTACTTTTTCGAGTTATGGGATTTTATTCTTAAAAATTATTCATGATTTGTGCCTCTGTGTGCTGGTGTGTGCATGTTTTTTTGTGTGCTTTTTTTTTTGGGGGGGGGGGGGGGCTATTTTGAGCAGTATTTCTAGTTAATCATAAAGATTAATTCAAGGCATAAAGACGAGCTGTAGGACAACAGACATATCATGTGCTCATGGCGCAGCTCTTTATTTTAAATATGATGAAGCAATTCTTCTAGAAATCAAAGAAAAAATGGGCATTATTTCTATGAAGGAAATCCAGATATCAATTCGGGGTTGGGTGGCAGACGTAATTTCTTTATTTGATATGTTATATTTATTTATGTATCGTGTATGATTCATTGTAATTAATCTGCTCCTTATTTTAAAAAAAGTATCTGTATTTGTATTAAAAAAATTAATTTCTCTTATTTTTAGCTGACCTGTCAAATATAAGAAACAGAATGCTATTCCAGCTTTGATGAACTATAAAGTAATGGTTTGAATTTGAAAAGCTTTATTATTAGACAGGTAAATTGTTGTATTTTTTCTTTTTGCTCGCTATTAAAACTGGTTATCCCTTTTTTGTGTATATCAAATCAATCTGCACCAAAATCTTTTCCTACTACTAGTTAGAAGACCAAATCTATTAATATAAAGATAAGAAGATGTGGTATGACTGCAATGAGAAAACTATCCAACAGAGACCAAATGATGTAGATGAAAGCATCTATATATATAGGTTGCTTTACTGTCTTCAACAACAGTGGTGTCACAGTACAACATAAGAACAAACTGTAAAAGTTATTGAAATAGACTTGACAATCAACTTGTCAGATCAACACACACATGTTGCACAAAAAAAAAAGGCACAAAGTACTTGCAGTTACTGAAAGCTAGTTCAACGCTAATTACAACTTATAGAAAGGGCAATTTTCTAAGACAAAAAGAATCGGTACACATAATAATCCCATAATTAAATATTACCAACCATTTTGCTATACAAATACAGGTGTTCAGATAATCTAACTGAAGCGATAAAGCTATATTATATATATAGTAATAAATATATATTCTACTGGTATCCTGCTTCTGTTGCTTGGAGTTGGAAACAGTTATAAAATTGAGAATGGAAATGGGGAATGTGTCAAAGAGACAACAACCCGACCATAGAGCAGACAACAGCCGAAGGCCACCAATGGGTCTTCAATGCAGCGAGAAACTCCCGCACCAGGAGGCGTCTTTCAGCTATGTCATCAAATTACTAAAAAAATCTATTTTACAGCTCAATTTTGTGTCCTCTTTACAGTCCACATTAAAGCAAATGTTACGAACAAAATGACGAATAGGAGAAAAGCTATGCAAGCCTTGCTTTTCTTCCTCTTTTATAATTTGTGCAAATAAATTTCTGTTGTCGTACAATGTAAGAATATTGTATGGTGTAAATTCAGAAATTATGGCAATGTTTTTTTAAGGTAACTTTGTGAGTATCGCAATAATAAGAAGTCACATTCTGATATCCAATACATATAACTGTAACTGTATTTTTCTGAAATCACAATAATTAATCTCGCATTTTTGTCCATTCTTCAAAAATTGCAATAAATGCACACAATAATTTCTGAATTTAATAACGTACATGTATCTTTACCAGCAATAAACTTTTTTAGGGCCCCGCCGAATAGCTGGTCGCCCTATAGTGATCAGTCTGTCCGTCGGTCCATACGTAACAAATTGTGTCCGCTCTATATCTAGAGAACCGTTATGATTTCATACTTTATACTTGACATGTATATTAACCAACACCAGAGGGTGTGTCATAATTTTTGTACAACTTCCTAGGTCAAAGGTCAAGGTAAAAATCTTTGGTTTCAGATGACAAACACATGTCCTATGGTAAAGATACAAATTTTTTACCACACATTATTCACAGCGTGGCCCACAGAGATAGCTCCCATCTCAATGATGTCTAGTTTACACAGATATTATTAAAAAATGTACTAAGCTTGATTGCTAAAAGTTCTTAGCTGTGGTTTTAGTGCATTACTTATATTGATATTGCATTATAGCACCCTGCCTTATTCATGTCATAATTTACATTTGGGAAAGGAGATACAAAACAATGTAGTTAAACATAATATGGGCATTATGTTTTTCGGTCTGTGCATCCGTTCTTTCATCCGTCAGTCTGTCACGCTTCAGATTTAAGTTTTTGGTTAAAGTTTTTGGTCAAGGTAGTTTTTGCTGAAGTTGAAGTCCAATCAACTTGAAACTCAGTACACATGTTCCCTATGATATGATCTTTCTTATTTGAATGCCAAATTAAAGTTTTGACCTCAATTTCACGAACATAGAAAATAATAGTGCGAGTGGGGCATCCATGTACTATGGACACATTCTTGTTTAATTTATTACATGATACATCTTATAGGCTGCCTATAAGATGTATTATGTGTTAAATTTTAAAATTAAATAAAAGTAGTGCACCTTATTAAAATGTGTATGACTAATGAGGAAATTAAATTCTGGTTCAAATGTTGAATGAACTTCAATGAAGACATTATAAAATTTAGGACATGTAGGACAGGGGAATTATTTTGTAAGCATTTTCACAGTAACTTGTTGAAGTTGAACTTTTGATCACTTTTCCCATGTTAAAAATTTCATTTAATATAATTATTATATATATGCATTTTCATATTTCAGGGATGATGACCTGCAGTGAGACAGCAGTAGAAAGTTGCATATAACTCATGATCATCATGACCATTATGGAAGATCAGATCAGATGAAAATTATGTTTAGAAAGCCACTAAATATGTCTATGAAAAGTAGAAAAAAGACAGCAATTCTATGTAAAGTACTTAGCAGAAGCATTGGCTGTTTGAATACCAATGTCAGTGTTGGAATTTAGTATTTTGATGCTGAGAGATAGAGGAACATTAACTGAACAATTTAGCTTCTTTTTCATGTGTCATTGAAGTTGATGTTTACCATCTTAAAAAGCTTTTACCACAGTTAAAATGAATTCTAAATACAGGCAGTTTGGAGATTTGTGAATTTTCTTACAATTGGAGTTTCAAAATGGATTTCATTTAAAAAAATTATTTATTTCACAGATGAAATTTGTCGTCTCTCAAATGCTTTTATGAAATATTTGAATAATCAGCAATATATTTTAAGCAATACCTAACCAAATGAGAGATCTACAGATAGACATATGAATTTCAGTTGAACTGTGAAGAAGGAAATATTCATTTATAAGACTTATATAAGTGTTTTGTTATTTTTATGGCAATTACGGGAAAGATGAATCAATTCGATTTAAACATTACTCATACCTACAGATATACATGAGATATAGGCATACAATTTACTGATGCACCACTAATGGATATACATGTAATTATAAAACTAAGAAGATGTGGTATGATTGCCAATGAAACAACTCTCCACCAGATAACAAATAGTCGTATTTTATAACGATTTACATTTCAATTTCATTTCATAACACAGCATACAGGTATACAAAAAGTTCAAAAGCATAGAAAAAGTGTTTTTATTGCAATTGCTGTTGTTCATCTTATGGTCACATTGAGGTGGGCCTTCAATACTAAGCAAGACCACTGGAACAGCCACAGACATGACAGAATGTTTGAAAAAAGAAATCTGGAAATTTTCTTTGCTTGTATATATATCATGTAGCTGCCATTATGTACATGTACATACATGTATCTAGTTTTGTCTATATACTTGGAAATCAGAAAATTTTGCAATGTTTTCATTTCTTGTCTAAATTGAAATTGGTTATATGTTTTGCAAAAAAATCATGTAAATTTATTTAAATGATGGTATTATTTGTATCCAGCATTTTCTGAAACTGCAATAATTAATCTCGCATTTTTTGTTCTGGCATTGTTCAATAATTATAATTATCATGATTATCTTGATAATAAATTTACGCAAAAGTTTCTGAGTTTACAATAGTTATCAGGTTATATCTTTTTGAAGGATATCTAACTTTGAAACTTGTGATGGAATATTTTCATAGTATTAGAGATTCTTATATCTACATTTGTAGTCTGTTTAGCAAAATATGTTGGGTATACATGTATGGCCATTAGACAGCATCCCCAACACTGACAGAAATTGTTTTTTTCTAACTTTGAAATTGCGTACATGTTTGGTAATATTATACAGCTAGAATTTAATATAAAATAAGAAGATGTGGTATAATTGCCAATGAAGTTTTGATTAACAATTACATGAACTAAGTCATTTTACTTTTTGTGATTGGGTCAGGTTAAGATTACCCACTGATTGTACCCTTGTCAATGATATTTGTAGGCAGTACTAGTATGTAGTTTTATTAGCATTTACATATTTTCATTTCCATGTTGACTCATGATTTTGCCCTGATGATTTTATTATATATATATATATATACCAGTACATAGAATTTATTAGTCCCCTACCGCACTCTGTTGTCCATCCGTCAGTCCGGCAAATCAGTTTTCCACACTTTTTTCTTCGTGCTTTCTGATATTGATTTGATATTTGGTATATTGTTTTATCATGACAAGTTACAGATCAAAATTCACTCAAATATTCAGTTTTCTGCACTTTTTTTAGTCATGCTTGAAGATATTGATTTAATATTTGTTATATAGTTTACACCATGACAAGTTATAGATAAGGTTAGCATTTTGTTCCAGTACAATTAATTTTTATTTTACCGGTAGCGGACTTGTGTATTGCCATGCAATACTCTCGGAATGCATGTTTTATTTTGACAGAAAAAAAATTTAATTACCATAGCTACCAATCAGTTGCTTCCAATTTCAGCAGGTCTTGGGAAATATGTTTTCTGATTTTAACATGTTTAACGATGAACTTTAAAATTATATGGCACTTTATCATGTAAAAACAATTGATTGCTTGTGGTTGGATGTCAGTTAGCGCTTCTGGCTATTTCTTCGGTGGCTGTCCATTTTTATTGTTGGAACTCGGGTAGGGAGAAACTTAACATGTAATGAGCGGCTGAAAAAAATAGATCACTATTTGCAGCTTCATGGTATACTATAATATTGAGAATTTAAGATGATGTATATGATAAGGTTGCTGATTGAAGCATTATGTACATGTATCTGAAACTAATCCAATCTCAGACTGGGTTTTTTTACAGATGCGATTAAAATTAGTCGTAAATGCATTCGATATCTGTCAAATCTGTTTATCTCTCCATGATATATTGCAAGCATAAAGCATGAGATATAAAGGTATATTTTTTAAGGATGGGTTACTCGATATCTCGGGCTGCTAATCCTTACCCCAAAAAGGTAGTAAGTGCTAATATTAAAAGTTACTCATTCTAGGAAAAGGGAATTGTATCCCCCATTAACTGTTAATGCTGTTGTGTGCTTTTGAATATTCCAAACAAAAATAAGTAAGGAACCGGCAGAATGATTTTACCAAGTAAAAATGTTGAAATAAGAAAAATATTGCTTCAGATGGGATGAAAAGGAATCTTCTGTCCAACAAAATGCAGGAAATCATTGGGGACAAAATCAAAAAGTGCAAGCTGTACATACATAATACTGGCTTGGTAACTGCATGGTAGAATGAATATTCAAAAGCAAAAAATCATAAGAAATTCAAAAAGACCTCCCAATCATGATTTACAAATTGATACCAGTTCTCACTTGAGACATTCAACAAGTAAAATCTGAATATTTATATGCAGGTAGGAAGTTTATACTGATTTATAATTTATTTACACATTATCAATGACGAAGAGCAAACAAATAATATAAGTGAATTCATGAATTTGGGTGAGTTCTTTGTGAAAATACAACTTTTTTTAATATAATGATTTACAATATATACATATTTGATGTACTAGGAGAGACCTAGTATGCTTTTAATTTGTATAATGAACTTGCATTTGCAAAATGAGAACTACACTAGGACCCGGGGGGGGGGGGGGGGGGGGGGGGTGAGGCTGATCAGATGTGGATTCCGGATTTTGAAAAAAAGTGGGGACTCAGGGTCCCCCCATCACTAAGCGACGTTTGGATTGGGACATGTAAAAAGTGTATGTATTAACCATATAATGGTTGATCCACAAGGGGGCCCAAGCCCACCTGAATCCGCCTCTGCCATTTGCGATGATACACCAGAGGTTCGAACATGAAAATACTTGGCAATTAATACATTGGTATACAAAATTTGTGGAACACATACTGTGTAGGAGGGGTAGGGAGTGCTAGGATATTTATCTTATTATTTTTGTTCGCCAACCAGTTCTCGGGTAATTTTTATCTCTGTTATCTAGCTTGTACGACCTCGTATATATTGGAATCTGTTCTGTTCTGTTCTGTTCTGGTATATTCCTCCGTTTTATCGGAGCACTCCACTTATCGAATGAGTATTAAAATTTTAAATACTTAACCGAAAAAGCGGATATTTTTATATTTACGATATGAAAAATATATAATTTTAAAATAAAATTAGTTAGTTAAAGTGAATAAAATAAAAGTTTATAATGTCTTTGATGATATTTTAAAAGATATTAATACAAAAAAAAAAAAAATAATATTATTCACACGTTACAAATTACGGCACTTTGATTCACCAATATGAATAAATAAAAATTTTACAACCTAACGATTTCTAGTCAATAGGTGCCCTGCCAAGGCAAATGTTAAAATTATATAGCATCTTTTATGCTGATATTTATAGACTGAACCAGTTAGCTTGGCATCCCATGCAGACTGTTCAGACTATATTTAATATTAATGTTATATTTTCATGTCACTTGATATCACATAAAAGTTGTGTACGCTTCATGTGTAAATGGTAGCATAAATCTTGTGTCTTCCTTTCTATATCTAGCAACTTGTCTATTGGTTGATTACTCATTATGTCTAGTGCTGAGCAGTCTAATATAATTTTGAGTAATAGTTCATTATTAATAACATTTGTTGTACCACCCGTTTCTATGCATGAATCTTCCAAGAAAACTGGAAAACTTGAGCATATCTTCAAATATTTTATTTTTATAGAAATTAATTGCAAATTATAAAGAAAAAACGAATGTTTCATCGATGGTATACACCTAATCGCTATTTATTCCATTCCGGATAAGTTCTAAAATTACACAACTTTTTCATCCAGTTGACGCTATCTGGGACCCTGTTTAAACAATGCACCATGCATGATACTTTTTAATGAGACCTGTTTAAAACATCGTAAATACTTCAAACACAATATTTTTTTGACCATAATTTGAGTTTGGAAAAAGTGGATCATAATCTATCAAAGTTTCCTATTGATCGCTTTCTAAATTTTTCCCTCCCTCAGCTCGTTACTGATGACCTTTGTTTGCGGCCTGTTGACCCAAACAGGAAGTTGTCTAATGAACTGTTTTTTCCGGATTGGACTAAATAGCGATAAGGTGTATTAAATAATAAAATTTTATACGTTTCCGGGTTGTTGGCCCGTCTTATTCCGTCTTTGCTTTTCTTCGTCTTTTGTGCGTTTGTATTTTATCTCGGAAACTAAAAACAATCAACAACTATTTTTTATACGAAAAGTGCAGGTTGAAGATCAATGAGTACCTCTTAATTGCAGACATGTATAGATTCAGCAGATGTTGCAGTTTATAAAAAGTGCTGTTACAAATCAAAATAGTTGTGGATCATTTTTCTAGCGCCATCGGGAGGGTATTTTTTTGCCTTTTTATGCCATTTTACTCGTAAAAGTTGATCGATTTTCAATTTAAACGTAAATATTGAACTTGTAACAGCGGTTTTTATATAAAGTGTACCGAGTAGTGTCTAGAATTCCTTGGTTGGCGTTTGTACGTGGTTATCTTCAACCTGCACTTTTCACTTTTGTGATCGCTAAGGTTGTTTTTTAAAGGCAGTGCTTTAATGCCTTTCTAGCTGCCGTGTTAATATTTCTTTCCGCGATATCCAACTTATCTACGTGGGGGCTCATTTAGCTCCAAGTAGATCCGGAAAATGTTGATTCTCTCCTCTTCTTATTGTGGTATAAAATGTTTTTTGTCTCATTTCATTTAAATTGGGAAATAGAGAAACGATCATTGTGTTTTGTTAGTTTTAAAAACTTTTGATATATTTGTATTTTACATTATAATCAGTCAACCGATTGACAAACTAGAATTATTTGAACTCCTTGTGGAAAGAGGTCGGGTTAATTTCGAGTGTTATCTGCAATCTAGATGTTATAAATCATTTCAGTCGTTGATATAATAATTAAAGGTCGACTGAACATGAATTATATTATACAATTTAAAGCGCATTTCTGTTTATGCACGCGAACCCGTCTAACGTTATTGTTATTTCGCAGTTATATAAAGTAGCAAATTATCGTTCCTGAATAGGTGGCGCCGTGGTAGCCGATCCTGTACTTCAACTTCCGGATTCTGCACTGTGCAACTATTACAGTTGCATTTTTAATTAACGATGCCAAGTACTTGTTGTTGTGTACCTGGATGTCATTTAAGAGGAGGACATGCATTTCCAAATGACTTAAAAAGAAGGAAAAGTTGGATCAACGCCATGGCCCATACGCAGATTGGACGAGAACACGATGAAATCGTGGAGTCCATCTCAATCAGCTGTTGTTTGCAAGGCACATTTTACTGAAAAAGACTACGTGCAGGAAACTATTCATGGTAAAACTCTATTTTCTTTTTAAAATATATAGTTATATATGTAATCGCCATGCGAATAAACCAAAGTCTGTTTACAACCGCAATTATCGTATAGAATAAAAGGGGGTGGTTAATTTAAGACGTCATAATTTTTTGGATTACGATTCAATGTGATCTGTTTGAGATTTTTTTGTGCTTGCTACAATTATAATGATTTCTTACAAGAGGTATATCATACTGAGAATTATTTTAGCAGTAATTATGCTTATGTAGTAATGACAGGAATGCATAAGCTATGCCTCATAGACTTTCTTGAAAAATATCAATGACAATGTAAACAGGAACAAAACAATGACATGCTCTCATCTATATTATAGTTATTTAGGTACAAACAATGTATGTTTGTTGCATACGTCTCTCATTGTTTGTCCTTTGGATTTACATAACATACATTTTGATGTACATTGAATCAGGCTAACATAGTTTTATTGTCGAGCCTGCGACTTTTGTCGCAGAAAGCTCGACATAGGGATAGTGATCCGGCGGCGGCGGCGGCATTAGCTAACTTCTTAAAAGCTTTACATTTTAGAAGGTGGAAGGTCTGGATGCTTCATACTTTGTATATGGATGTCTCATGTTACGAAGTTTCCGTCAGTCACATGTCCAGTGTCCTTGACCTCATTTTCATGGTTCAGTGACTACTTGAAAAAAAAGT